TTCAAGTCGTTTAATCGGTTAATCACGTGGTTTTTTAAATGACTTTCACAACCAAATCAAGTTCAGACTGGAAACGACCGACAACGCACTAAATTTTCTTGATTGCCTTATGAAAGTACTGGGCTCGGGTAAAGTATCGGTGATGATACACAGGAAAGGTACACATACAGGACGGTACCTCAACTTCCATTCTGACCACTCAACCAATATCAAGATGTCAGCAGGACTTAGCTTAATTACTGGAGCTCGGAAACTAGTAACCAACAAAAAGGATAAACGTCAAGAGATGAACCAGATTACTAAAGAACTAGAAGATAATGAATATCCGAAGGAGTCCATCGAAAAAATCAAAAAATCAAAATCAACCCACTGCAGTCAACTAAACCAAAAAATGACTGGCTGACAACTGTTGTCGTTCCATATCGTAGTAACACGTCCGAAGACATACGACGGATACTCAACAGTGTAAATATGAGGGTTGTGTTCAAAAGCACTAACACGATCTACTCCAAACTAGTTAACCTCAAAGACCCNCCCGCGTGCAAAAGGGGACACTTCTGACGTAGTCTATAGAATACATTGTCTAGACTGTCCTGTTACGTATGTCGGCCAAACGTCCAGAAGCCTAGACAAACGAATGACAGAACACATGCGTCTAACGAAAAGGATTCCAAATGATGCTGCAGGTTGGAATCGAGTGAAACACAATTCCGCAATCGCTGATCACGCAATGTGCGAAGGACATGCAGTTGATTTCAAAAACCCGCGCATTCTGAAGCGTGGGTTCAGAAGTCACAAGGAACGTTTGGCAGCCGAAGCGCTCCTGATCAACGTTGAACCTAGGGCAATCAATCGATCCAATGGGACAGTCATTCCACAGTTATGGCAACAATTAACACTTGTGTATAGAAAATAGTCTCGCCCCCACCCCACATGCCAAGTGACTAATTTCACACCTAAAGGTCAAACCAATTTAATTCGCCCAACCACGTGTTGAACGATTACCAACACACACACACACACACACACACACACACACACACACATGCACATAAACATACACGCATGCTCCAATCACATTCCAGTTTTATACGATGTCCTCATCTCATGAACTTATAATTGCTTGTAACGTGAGATTAACCGATTAAATGACTTGAAAAAGGCCTTCCAAGAGGGTCGAAACGTTGTCACCAACACCTTTGTGTTTTGGTTTTCGTTCGTCGTGGCTAAGACAAGCTAATTTCCTCAATAATCATGAGCACGACGCCCAAGTTCTTCAGTGAGATCCGTTCCATCCATGGATCTCATGTTAACTAAATTTTTGTTTTGTCTCTAATGTCCCTTCCTGATACTCACTTGCTATGCATGACCTATAGTTTCTCCGGCTCTCTCGCTTTAGTTCACAACCTTTATTTAATCTGCTCATCTCTCGATCATTGTCCATTTGACCTTTGTGTTCCCACCCCCAACCCACGACTGGCCTTATTATACTCGTTGGCTCTGTTTGCTCACCTCTGTCATCGTTACTTTCTGAGCTTTAATCGGCCAATCAGACACCTGTATTATGATCACCTTATATATGTGAATGCCTGATATAGTGAAAAGAAATTTCTTCGCGAATACCGTTATCTTCATTTAATACAGTTTAATCAAAATAACGTCACAAAAATACCTACCTCTAGTGGATAATTAGATCCGGGATTCGAGCCTCGATGGATATTGCCACATTCCATCGAATCGTCCATGTCATCTTTCTGTTTCCGAATGGATGATGAAAGAATGGGACTGGAAGTGGCCCCAAGGAACGTGCTCTGACTGTTATTGTTGTTATTATTATTATTTGTCATCATCATGAGCGTCGCCCCGGCACCCACCGAATTTTGTGTCGGTTTGCTCTGTCCTGTTGCCGCAGTTCTAAACGTCCCCATTAACGGATCGATTGTCTGGTATCGTTTAGAATTTCGTGCCTTACGACCATTTAGAAAGAAACCTTGTTTCTGATAGAAATCGGCTTCGGCCGGAGAACACACAGCGTGCACTTGGTGTGACATTGGACTGCTTGCTTTGCGTCCCAGTGTCACGTTCTCACCAAGCGCCAGTCCACTGTGTGCGAGCAGTTCGGCTGAGTTGCTCAATTGTTGGCCTATTAGAGGGGGGGGGGTCATGGTGATGATGACGGCGACGGCATAGGTGATGGTGTGGTGTGATGTGTGAACAGATTGCAATTTGTGGGTTATGATGAGGTCAAACGGGGTTTGGTGTGTGTGTGTGTGTGTGTGTGTGTGTGTGTGTGTGTGAGGGGTTCCAGGGTGGAGAAACGGGATCGAGACAGGAACAGGATGTAGCAGATGCCGAAGAAAACGAGACTATTATGACAAATGAGAATAACAACCCAAAACTGTGACATTTCCGTCAAGCTGAATGACTCACACGATGATAGCCATAAATTTAATCATGCGCCGACAACATTCAAGTCACGAAAGGTTCCCGGTTCGGATGATAAACATACAACCAGTCGGAATGGGGAAGGGTAATGTGTTTAGAACAATGCAGCATTCGCGAAGCAAATTATCACTGTTTAAATTATTTGACAAATGGGTAGCGGAACTTTTTGACATGTTAAGAAAGCAGAACAAATACTTCCCAGAAAATAAGCTCGAATCGTGTTTCGTTTATCAGACGTGTGCTTTCTTACTTCTAAGTCTCATGGGCATCATACAGGCAAAAGACAGTTGATAAACGCCATGGAAAATAGTGCTTGAATGTGGGAATCAATTGTGTTGTGCGGTCAAAAGTCTTATTTCTATTCTGCTCGTTGGACTTGCGTAGTCTAATTGTAAAGGTGTCGGCAATGGTAAAACAGGAAATTGATTGATATCACAGGTCAGGATTTTGAATCCCAGCACTGTAGCTTGGCTTCATAATTTATTTCTCATTAGATCATTATCGACCTGTCAGAACCCGCCTCCTGAAAAGGAACTGAGTGAATAATTAAGTCATAGATGAAAAGAATTTTTTAAATTTGTTCAAAAACCTCACAAAATATTATTGGTTTGTCCGAAGTAGAACTTTGAAAAATTGCTTGAAGTTGGCGAGTCACTCGAAGCAGTGTTTTTGAGTCCTAGTTTGGAAATCAGTACCTGCCTCCTTACCGGGTAGTTTAAGCCCTCGTTTGAGTTCCCATAACATGCCATGTTAACTAACACATGTATAGCAGTAATGATGATACCGTCAGTTGACGAATGTTGTCAGTCCCTCGGCGATATATCTTCACTGTTAGTCTACACCCATCTCTTCAACTGTCATCTGTATCTTGGAGAGTTAGATCACGGGTTAGCCGTTTTGTGAATGTCTGTGTCACGCGGAACTGGGTGAAGTGAAGTCTTAGCCTACGGTTAGGAAATGACGACGTGGATAACTAGCCAGAACAGCGGGGTGTGATTTCGGCTTCATCATAATTTCATAGTAGTGATTGTGATGTACAGGACATCTTTATATGTGGATTTAATAAAAGTACTCACAAATCAAGAATTTCCACTGTATAAAACTCCCAATATTCTTGATGTCTTTTGGTACCTTTTATATTATTTTTTCAATATATAAGTATACAGTCAACTTTCAGGAAGGAAACTGAGACCAACTTAAGGCTGCCCGAGAATGGACAGAGACGGGGAAGGCGAGTGCAGGTAGTGCAACTGGAAAATACGAACTGTGGGTCACTATGCGAATGACAGTCTTAATTACTGGACCCTAGTGGCACTGTTTCCTGGATCAATGCACAACGTAGAAGTTATGGAAATGTTTTCAAACTCAACTACAGTAGTACAGATAAGAGCACAATTGGGGTCAATGAGCGGTCCTCGCATGAGCCTCGAAATTTGTACATTTACTTATCCTTCACGGGGGCAGGATTGAGCATAATCACATGACAGGGTAAATTTGACTATTTAGCAAGATCTCCTCAGCAATGTGCTGATGTAAAGGTTCGATCGGAGCACTATTGCATAAATAAGCCTAACAAAATACTCGAAAGGTAAAGATTACAACCGAGGGCGAAAAGTCACCAAAAGTATACATTCCCTTCACAAACTCTCCTATGGTCATATTTGTTCTCCTTCTATGAAACTTCTAAACGGAACTGGAAATTAACTATTTTATGCGGGTTTCATTAAAATGAAACATCCTACTTGCAAACACTTCAAATTCATAAAAGTCGCAATTTTGCATAGGGGAAAGATTACTTACATGTAAGACTTGGTTACTATTAGCCTCTGCAACATAATTTAGGTTTTTGGAATTTACCCTACCGTTACACGTGATTTTCTTCCCACATCAATCGTTATTGCCATTCCCGTTGAGTGATATCATTGCAAACCAAGTCGGTCTGTTTCCCAAAGTGATTGTTTTCAAGGCAACACGAACACAACATAGGGGATAAGTTAATCGGATTGATCTAATCTGACCAGTGTTAGAAGTCAAACACACGTTTGAAGTGTCAGATTTGATAGGTTATCCAAAAGGAAATCTAAATTGTGCTT